AAGAATAAGATCACATCTCAGACATGCTATTACCTCTTCCCTGCCGCCAGGAAGACCACCCTGCTGGTGCTTATTGTGAATTGGCGCTGAGAGGTCTTAATCCACAGTAGGTCCACTTCATGACTACCTCCATCTTATTTTTGATAAGAAAGACAATGTTTCTATTTGTCTGTGCACCCCTATGGACACAAAACCCCTTTGCTTCTCACCAATGTGACAAGAGATGGTTTTCTAAATAGATACACACCCCAGCCTACATTGACTCCTCACACTTTGCAAAGTACGATATATACAGTCTGCTTACTGAGAATGTTTGATAGCTGGAATAAAGTAAAGCCATTTTTAATAGTGCAACATGGCAAGCTTGGAGCCTTCTAGACAAAAGATTTCATTTGAGTGCCGTTTTATTTTAGTTTAACAGCACAGCAATCATGATTAACCATAAGTGGCGCTGTTACTGATGTTTTTATGTTGCACTTGTCTATCACAGACTTGTTTCCCACCCACTGCTGAAATATGCCACAAACCCCATAAACTGGGTCCATTTATGGTGGGAAACATTCCCGCTATTATATATTATTTTCTTTCTGGGTTTAGCTTACCGTAGTGCATGTGCGTTGAAGATCACACAGTGTTGACAGAGATATAAATGACCTGTAATACACTGGCTGTTTGGTGGAGCGCCTTTGCGCCGATGCTCCCTGTTATTGGGTTGAAGACACTGAGGAACATTCGCTGGCCTGACCGTCGCCAATAGCTATAAACACAATATTGAATGTGTCGTAGCCTTCAGCCACTGCCAGCATAACTACAGAGGGAAAATGGTCAACAATGGATCTCTTTCCAAACACAAATCCTCAACTGCCCAGAGTCTATCAGAAATAAAGATGTACCCGTCAAGTCAACAGTGTTTGACTGAGCTTCTGTTGAGATGTGGTGGTTTTGCAGAAAATTAGGGGACTAGCGCAGAGGTGGTGAGACAGAGACAGACTGAGCAACAGACTGAGACAGAAATATGGGGGCAGAAAGACGGATTGAGGGATAGAGAGGGTGAGCAGGGTGGCAGAATGCCGAGCAGACGGATCCTGGTATGGCAGGAGCTCTGGGCAGGCGTCAGCTGTCCCTAGCAGACTCCCTGGGGCCACCCGGGATTCACACCCAAATACTCTCCGCTGTTTTTCTCAGGAGCTAAATGAAGTTATCGCTCACACCCCCAACCTATGAAGTGAATATAGAGCAAGCGTTTTCCTGCAATTAAAACATTAGGGAACGGCAAGCGTGTTAGAATGTGAATCAGTTTCTTTGTAGCTCAAGCCGGCCTCGGTCTCAGCTCGGGTTACCTCCGTTAGGTTTTTACAGCGGCGTCCTGCCGTTCCTCTTACACCAGCCCCAGTCTAGGCTAGCTCAGCTGAGGGTGTAAAAACTGAAGGGTACCAATGAGACGGGCGTCTCAAGTATGTAGGACACCTTGTCTATGCTGTGCCTGCCTCACACAGGCCCTGTGAGTCAAGTCATGAGGGAGCATCATGAAGAAGGAGTTTAATTAGGAGCAAGCCTCCAAAGGGGCCAGAGAGAGAAACACAGAGCCAAGCAAGAAGACACAGCTTTTTTGCTGTCTTTGCTCCTCGCCATACTTTATATTCCACCTTCCTCTTTCTCACATTTACAGCACGAACTCTCTATAGCATTCTGCGTGACTCTTTACATCGCCGTAGCATTTTGCTGTCTTCTAACCTCCTTCCTCTCACACTTTCTCCTCATAATCTGGTGTCCCTGTTTGGCCATTTCTTTCTTGTGATTCACAACACGGCAGCAGAGGGTAATATTTAATGTGAAAAAAATGTCAGTCATTGCAAACCGGGGTAATAAAAACGCTATAAACTTAAATAATGCTCATTTATGCCAGCAGCCAAAAGATTAGCTTCTTTTTTAAGAATACAGAAAGAAAATGAAGTTACTTAGAATATTGAATAATTTTAATTTAGGCATGAGAATGTGGGGGAATTCTTTGTGCATAAAATTATTGCCACAAGTGAACTGCACCAAAGTGTTTTTGTTTAATCCTCATCCTATTACCGTATTCCCCAAAGACTCCCTTTTCATGCCAAGTCTTCATTCCTGTACTCCTGTTTCTCTCAATATTACAACAGCAACCTTTTTTTTCACTGATCATTATTCTCCCCATTATTTTGAAATATAAGTCTTGGATGTGCCTTATATAATGGTGATGTTACTGTATAACAGACTGAAAGTTTGGAGCAGCACTCAGTGGCATATTCAAGGAGCAGATAAAGCAATGGGCTATTAGAGGAGGGTAAAACACATAGGATGGCTTGAAAGTAGGGCAGCAGGATGGTGAGGTGGAAGGCTGAAGAGGGAGAAGTCCTTCTAAGGCTACATGAGCTCTTCAGCAGTTCTGATTGGTTGCTGGGTTGTATGCTAGGCCTTTGGCAACAGGTGTGATGCCTTTAAACAGGTGGGCATAACTGAGATGAATGGCATAACATCTTTGTACTGCACCCTAAATAAACCGAGGCCGGCTGGAAAGCTAAGCCTGGGTCAGTCATGCAATACTCACACCCTGGCTAAATGCACCTCCATAAACACACAGGGCAACTATTGCCCAACTACTGCTACACCGCCAGCTCAATTACCCCATATGGGTGTCACCTTTAACTCGGCCCCCGTTCTCCTCTCCCAGCAATGCTCCACGGCTATTCTTCCAAGAATGGAAGTAACTCTCTCATGGACTCATGTGCTGGTGGCAGTAGGTGGAAATCTATGCAAGTAGGAAGAAAAGTTGTTTTGATTTTTCTTCTTTTTTTTTTTTGTTTGTTGTTTTTTTTTCCTTGCATGCATTCTCATGTGAGCGGAAAAAGGCCAGTGGTTCAGCTCTTGTCAGTTCGATATGATACATCGCCAAGGCCAGATTGAAACTACGCAAAAGAAATAGCAAAGTTTTACATCTCACGCCTTTGCCAAAAAAGACAGCATGCTAAACCTCTGTGCCCCTTTTGTTCTCTTGACTCATCCTCCTCAGATAGAGCAAGAGTGCCTGATTCACTGTAGGTCTATTGGAAGTCAGATCTCCTGCATCGCCTAGCATGATTTGTTTGGTGTGATTTCCTGAAGACTGTCAAAGATGTGAGAGATGCTTTCAAATTCAGAATTCCAGATTTCCACTCCAGGGGCCAAGTGAGGATTCAGAGAGAGAAAAAGGAGAGCCAGCAAATGTTGACACACTTACAGTAGCTGCCTCGCCACGAGACGCCTCAGGAATCAAACAGTTATCACACAACACACAAAAGAAGCCCTCTAAGTTCACTAAAACCACACTCAAAACAGGCCTTTGTTGTGCTGACATGAGAGATGACTGGATTTTTATTTGTTTTCTAAGCAGGCAGATCGCTCCTTGTCACTTCTGCTGCTGGTTGTGATGGAGTAGCTAGCACTCGTATCTCTTCTGTGAGTGAGTACTGACAGAGACAAACAAATGAGAGGAAGAAGTTCACCGAGATTAACTTATCTTAGCATCTATCTTCCTCCTTTCTCCTGCTCAGTCGCTCTTTCTTTTTTCTTGACTAACACCCACTCTCACACACCCACACATGCACACACACACACAGACTCATTCCCCTCTTTCCCCACCCACACACACACACACACACACACACACTATACAACATATACAGAGAAGCGCACACTCTCACACACTTGATCAGCATCAAATACAAGGTGTGCTAAAGTAAATTTAATTACGTCTGTCTGATATGGAGCTTCAGATGAAAGTAGGAGAGCGCAGTGTGAAGCGATGACTGCACAGACAGGAGCAGGCCCGTGATATTCCTCCCGTAGACTAATCTCCCTTTATTAAAGCCAGGAGGAGAGAGGCAAGGGGGAGGGGGGGGGGGCATGTGGTGGAGAGGAGAAGGAGGAGGAGGAGGAGGTGGTGTCTTTGATGAGATCTCTCTAACTGTCAGCTACTGTACTTTTCTTCTCTGCCGCTCGGTCTTTGTCTCTCTCACTTTTGCGAGGCAAATGAACACAGCACCTATCGTTACATGCCCACTTGCTCAAGCAAACATACCCTCGTGCTATCACACACAGTAATGCGCTCTGAAACTTATCCCTGTTGTTAAGGTTGTCAACAATATCTAAAAAAGGACAGAGACAGCTACAGATACAGCCCCCCCCCGCGCCAACCACCACCACCACCTCTCGTTTTCTTATTTATTCCAATGCTCTCTTTGTCTGTCTCTCTCCTCCAGTGAGAGGGAGTGGTGATCGAGTGGAGAGTGTGCGTGCGCTTTTTTCCCCTTCTTCTTTCAGCGTGCTATTTTCTGTCCACTCTAATGGGGGCAGGTGGCCATCAGGTGGCCAGAACAGAAACTGCCACATTTAATAGCACATACACCACACTCGTAAACTTGTGCACCTCAGCTGTATTTTAATTCTATTTCACGGCCCGCTGATAATTATGGTTGTAAAATATGTTTTACTTTTATGACTGTTCCCTTTTCTGTGCAATTATGAGGTTTTAAGGTCCCCCCTTGATTTGTCATTCTGTTATGTCTTGTTATTGAATGTGATTGAATCATTTGTGCCTTTTTTTTCTGTGTTTAGCTGCATGTTTACTTGTTCATAAAAATAGGCCGTGTGTCCTCACCCCATACCATCTTGTTAGAGTTCATACCGTGAGCGTTTTCTTTTTGTTGTTAAAGCTTTTTTAAAAATTAAGATAATTTGTAGCAAAGATCTCATTACCCTACGCAGTAAGCCAGATTTGTTCTTTGTTTTTTAATTTGATATAAAACCACATCGGTTTAAGAACTTTTCCAAAGTGTTTCTTTTTTTTCAAGATGTCCTTTAATCAGACTTGCATTCGAAAATGGACCTCCTCACACTTCATTACCATTATGTCCCTCCGAAGCTGCTCACCTGGGTTTCTCTTCCCTACCCCAAAGCCCTTCAACTATGTTGTGCAACTGCTCTGTTTGCAGACATTGAGAAAGAAGGGCCTAAACGGCTGTGACAGCCCAGATCCCGACGCAGATGACTCGGTTGGCCACAGCCCCGAGTCTGAGGACAAGTACAGGAAAATAAACGAGGACATTGATCTGATGATCAGCAGACAGAGACTGTGTGTAAGTACTTCTTGTTAAACCCAGAGCCTTCTTCTCACCTTTTCTTTCCTCTCTCTCCCTCCCCCCACATGCTTTCTGTTGCTTCATCCCTGTCATCGTCATCTGTTCCTACCGTCCATCTCTCCGTCCCTTCATGTGTGTGTCTCCCCTCCATCCTTCTCTGTGGTTGTGGGACCTGGCAGGCATTGAGCAAGAAGGAGAACAAAGGTGGCGAGAGCCCGGAGCTCGAGTCTGCGCTCATCCTCACCCCGCACACTGAGGAGAAATACAAACAGATTAACGAAGAGTTTGATCACATGATTAAAACTCATAAGATACCTGTAAGTACTGGGTTATACTCAGCAGGCTGACAAAATGCTGACTGGCAAGTAACTGTTGCGCTAACCCAGCTAACCACCATTGTTTGGAAGCAGACTAATTACACAAAGTGAGAGTGAGAGTAAGATCGGGGTAAAATTGCACTCTGCAAAATTACAGATCTTTGAATTTTCCTGTTTACAGTAGAGGAATGGTCCTTTAATTTGACATGTCTGCAACCATAACTAGTAGGCACGTTTGCTGATTTAACAGCATAGTTTCTTTTATGACAAATTTTAACCTCACCCGGTTCCCACCTTGAACCCGCTCTACCCATAATGCCTTGCCTGGCTCTCAGGAGAGGTGTGGTCTGCATGCGCTTTTCCTTTTCCTGCACCAAAACCCAGTGGTCTGTGACCTGCAACAACAGGGACAGAGAGTGTTGGCAGTGAAACAGCTGCAGGCATTCGAACACTCTTAATAAGCCCGTCTTCCTAACTCAAAAAACTTGCTTATCTCTCCTCAGGCAAACGCCTTTGTAGCTTTGTATATGCCTAGATGTGTTATCTGCTGGATTTATATTATGTAGTGTCAACTTTACAGAAGACTTTAACCTATAGCTAGTTGCCAGGAACTACAAAATTGAGGCTTTCTTTCTATGTAAACTGAGCTTGCCACTCATTCAGAGAGCACATTATAGAATGGTTAGCGCTTCGGCCATACGGAGCAAAGAGATAATTCCACGGTAAATCACTCAGAGAAGAAGAGTAGTGTCTGAGCCGCATGGAGTAGGAGGAGATGTGGTTAGAAGCGAGGCAGTGGTTGGTGAGCTGGGGTGGTGCGTCGGGGTGAGGTGGGGTGTGTTTGGGATCGGAGAATGGGTGGGGTTGAGTGGTGGTGGGGGAGATGGAGGGGGTGGGGTGGGGTTCTGCAAACAACAAGTGGCAGTTCAGTGTGTGGTCAGAGTGGCTGCCAAGCACTGGGCCTCTGGATTGCAGGGGACTGTTGAGGGGACTGCGGGGAGAGGCAAAGGAGGAAGATGAGTGAAAACAGGAAGGATGGCACCAGTTAAAGGACAGCTCAGAAACGGGGCCCTTACACCCAGCAGTAGAGTGTGTGTCTGCGTGTGTGTACACATGCAGAAATGTGCATGTACGACGACAGCTCACACATTTTTAAATAATAGTTCACCGGGACCAATTAGGTCAAAAAAGTCCACCAAAGAGTCAGAGATGGAAGAAGTAATAGGGTGGGTGGGAATAAAAAAAGCAGAACCAGAGACAGACCCTCAAAAAAAATAGCATATATAGGTTTTGGCTAGCCACTCCCGTGCAAAGTCGCAGTTAAAGCGAAACGTGGAGAGGCCCATAATGAAATATGGTTAGAGTAATCATCTTTGTACATTGAAATAATATTTGGCCTGCTAACAGAACATTAGCAGAGGGGAGAAAATTAAAGAAGCTGAGGCACATCGCCCACTTCCACATGAGCCAGGCTGATGATCTCCCTGATGCACTCCCTCCGTGGCTCTGAGACACATGGCAGTAATTTAGGGCGCTATTTTCTACTTCCTAAAACTAACAATGCAGGATCAACCACTTCCAGGGCACTCCCAAGGTTAAACCCTTATGCCAAATGACACAATAAAAATGACAAACTAGATGCCGGAGGCTTTTCATGTTCCTGGTGAGACTATTGACTGATCTGAGTGCGTCACTTAAAACACTTTACATAAGCTCCATATGATCTGAAAATAAGTGATCCCCCATTGTGTTCTCTTGTGCCGTTTTACTTTTGCAAGATATTCTGCAGGCTTGTTAGTGAGGTGAAGATAGACTGAATTATCTTAAGCGCTGGGACAGTGGAAAACGATTGGCTTTGTTCCCTGTGAACCACAGCCTTCCATTTTTTTATGTATGACTGTAATGACTTCAGAATAATATTTCCTTTGGTCAGCCTTTTGACTTTTACAATGGCAAATGTTACAAGATGTCAGGGCCAGCACTTGACTCCTGCGTAAAGACATTAGTAGCCTCCAAAGTAACTCGATCACACTGAAATGAAAAAGTACCGCCAGTCCATTTATATTATCACTGAGGCAATTTGAGTAACTCTGAAAGGAGTTTTCCTTTTGTCTTTCATGCAATGCTGCTTTTGCCCAACTCTGCTATCTTGTATTTTTATTCTTTGCTTTAAGGAGTTCAGTTCATCTGTCCATTAGTCCTATTGAACTTCACTCTTTAAGTTTCTTTGTGTTCCTGGACTATTTCTGACCTGTCATGCTTTTTTCCTCTCTCTTTCTTTCTGTTTGTCTCATACTTCGCAAACCTTGTTTTATAACAATTCAAGCATCAGAATCATTGCAATCTTTAGTCTAATCACACCCATGTTTATGTCTCTCTATCGTCTCAGCAGGCCGTGCCCCCATCGAACTACGACATGCCCGTGTCCATTCCTGTTAGCAACCAGAACAATCTCATTTACAGCCATCCCGGTGGATCCCTAGGCAACCACAATCTGTTGCCACTGGCACACCACGGCCTACAGAGAAACAGCATGTCTCCTGGAGTTACACACAGACCCCCCAGTGCAGGTAATACAGGTCGGGTCTCGCACGCACTCATGCATCCATGTACATGCTGTTATCCCATCTGTCTATCTTCTCAACTGTGTGTACCTGTCTATCATGTTAATAGAGGCGCACATAGAAATGTGCAATTTATTTTATGACAGCTACCCACAATTTTCCACCTAAAGGCAGTTAATGAATCCTAAGTCGTCCCCTCCCACATATATTCACATATTGCCTGCTCAGTATTCTGTTCAAAGTGAGCTGATGATTTAATGCAATGTAAAATCCCAAGCCACAGGCCTGCTGATTTAGTGTTCTGTTGTACACACAGGACGTCTGGCCTTATATATAGGCACCGAGTTGCTGGTGACATAAGCAAATTGGGCCTGTTGGTTTGTTATTGTTGTCCAAAGTCCTTTTTTTGTCCCTTTGGTCTGAAGGCTGCTGCCCACACCCTCACCCTGTCATTACAACTGGATGCTAGAAATGCCAGCGCAAACTAAATATGAGTTTTGGCGCTTGCAGCATCCATGCCAAACCGCACACACTCTGGACCCTCCCACTCATCCACCTCTTATGCCTTAAAAATAATAATGTGTCATTTTTCTTGGACGGCAGCTTAATGCATCCGCTCGTAGTGTCCAGTTGCTAAGCGTGTTCAAGTTGGAGTGGGAAGCTGCGCCGCTTCTGGTGTCAGTGCACATATGACGGCCTGACACGCGCGCACACACACACACACACAGCACATTGTGATTAAACCGAGCGAGAGACAGAAGGTGCAGTGGAGCCAGTGTGGGTGTCTATCCTCTAATGGGTTTCTCTCGTTTTGCTGCGCTCTCTATTTCATCTTACAGGTGGCCTCATGGGTGCCGACCTTACCACTGGCGCAGGCACCAGTGCTGGTAAGAAAGCCCTCCTCTTCTCACACACAGATGTCTGCTAACATGCACACACACATACACCCACTCACACACATACATGGCACCCACTCACCCACTTGGGGCCATAAAATGCATGACTAACACTAACCCAAACCCAAGTGGAGATTTTGTCCATGATGTGTTGAAGTTAGTGGTCGTGGAGTTCATCTGGGAATGTTTGCTCAGTGCCTGGGCTGTGACACATCCTGCCTGTGTTCATCTATAAAATGGTAGAGCAAGTGGGGGGAAGAGAAGTAAAATGGCATTATATCCTGAGGCAGCAGATATAACAGAGATATTGCTAGATTCTTTAATGTACACATACAAATTTGTCTTGTTGTTTCTGTCACCTCTCGGATTTCTGTCTAGAACCAAATTAATTCAGTGTTTAGAGAGTCTCACGGTGGGATAATGATCCTGCCGGTAGCTCAGCAACACACATTTGGGAAACACGTGTAAAGCATCTTATGTGTTAACTTCTGTTTGTACATGGGTTTGTCCCCGAGGACATGTGAGGCCCGCGTTTATAACAAAGAGACTCCCTTTTAAAGGGTTGAATTTTTACGACTTCAGCGTACGGTGCAGAGTGTAAAAAAGAGAGAATTGGGGGCGTCAGTGGGTCACAGCTGGGCAGCCTTGTCTGGCCCCCAAGGCTCTATCACAAGGGGTCAGTGCCTGGTTTCTCTGTCTGGACAGTCATCGCACACACAAACACATACGCGCGCACAACAGGCCCATTTGTTGTGGCGTGTGTTCCATTGACTGCGTTTTGCAGTGCATCCTTCAAAAGTAGCCTTTGTGTCACTGCGCTGAAGGAACAGAGGCACTCTGTGAGCGCTGCGCGTCGCTCAGCAGCGGCGAAAAACACAACGTGGAGAGAGAGTCATGTGGGAGCTGAAAGATTCCATTCAGTGCTCTCTTAAATCTCATCTGGGGTGGAGTGGGGGGGGCACAGTGATGAATATCCACCAATGGTGGAAGCATGTGTGCAAAGGAGAAACAGAGGGGGGAACACAGATGGAAGTGTTCTGCGAACTCGGTCAGCCATTTTAATGATGTTCCTCTAAAATCATCAGTATGAAGTGGCACAGCCACTGTGGCACCTCGAGGACTGTTTTAACACTCCTCTTCTCCCCAGTGTAAGTTTTGATAAGATGATTGTACGAGTGGCCATCTGCCCCGTGTATGTGTCATCAGTCATGTGCCCTAAGTAACATAAGAGGAGCCTTAAGACACACAGAAACACACAACTTCTTTTGTGCTTCTATGAAAGAAATAAAAGAAATACCTCGGCTGTTTCTCTCAGTGCACAAAGATATGCTGCGTTGAGTCATATCTGTACATAATCCAGTGGATTATGCCTGTATATTCAACTGAAACAGATCTGCAAATCAGCCACATGAAACCCAGATGTGGGGGGTATATTCAAATCACAAAAGTTCCCCTGGTGATTCTAGTCCAGTGTAAATAGGACATGAAGGGCTGAGTCATCGTAGCTTTCCTATGGAAAGTTTTCATGCCTACATCTAAGCATATGTTTTGATCTGTCAATTTGCATGATGAGAGACAGAACGTGACTTGAAAGAAAAAAAGAGCACTCAGGAAAGAAGTCCGGATGGAGGCCTCGGCTTGTGAAAACCTTTCCACCAGAATGCGTGCAATTAAGCAAGTGTCATCTGTCCACACGCTTCTCACCAAAGCACAGCGAGGAATTAACAAGACTCTCCTCTCACCTCTCACTCCGCTCGTGCCTCGATTCCTCCTTTAAATGAGTTGCATAGAAGGTACATCTCGAGGACATCTCTGATCGCATTCGTTCAAGTTTTTTTAATAAAAAGGGAACACACACACACGCGCTCACATATAGTAACTGACAAAAGGTCAAGCTGATGAGTGTCTGCTTCAGTTTTGGCAGCATCCTACACCAACTGAACAAGTGTGACACCTTTGTTCAGTTGGAGAATTCAGGGTTGAATGCGCGTTTGGCCAAACCGCAACGGAAGAGTGTGTGTATGGGGAATAGAATGGAGTGCGCCTGTTAGACCACAACAGGACATCAGAAATTTGTTCAGTAACAGTAAAATCTACATGAGTTTAACCACACCTCTCCTTTGTGTGTGCGCTTTGTGTGTGTGTAAGATGGAAAAACACAGAGAGAACACTCTGATGGGGGGATGGATGGGGGGGAGTCTTGTCTGTCACATGTATCTCGAAGTACCCTAGCTAACCATGGAGCCAGATTGTAATCATTCAGCTCTGACCTTAGCTATCCCCCCCAACCACACACACACACACACACACACACACACAACTCAGCAATAGCAAAAAAAAAACCTTATTTATCTGAATCTGAGATCAGATATTGTTCTCCCTACATCGAGTTTAACGCAACAGCCAAAAAGACTCCCTGCTGGGCCGTGTTTAATTTTGGTACTTCCTCTAAACAGTTGACGCCAGCCTGCGCCGCACTTCGACTGCGCAAAATAGTAATAGAGGAGGAGAGTGGAAATGAACTCTGGTTATCATCTGTCTCTTTTGAATGCGTGCGCCCTAAAATCAGGTTGATCACGCTGCAGAATAGAACGATTTGAGTCACAGTTCTCGCTTCATTAGCTTAATTGGCTTGTGATTCTACTTTTGAAGTGCTAAAGGACTGGCCTGTGCCACTCATGATTAAAGTCATCCAGCATATAATTGACTGGACTGCAGCCATCTCCACAGGGTAGCAATACACAGATGTCTGAGTGACTGTCACCAAGATGAAGTCCGTGTCATCTTGACCAAAGTGTGTATTAATGTCTCTCCATTGCTCACTGTCTTTTTGATTCATCTGTACAGAAACAGTGATGTACTTCCTGCTGGGTTATTTACTAAAGTATGTGTATGTGTGCTGGGAGGGTGTGTGTTATGTGTGTGTGAGATCTCATTCATCTGTCTCCACATGCACCCACTCGATCTCACAAAGGGCCAGCCATGAGAATGAGAGAGCGGGAAAACTGAAGAGGCAGCTGCCTCTTTGCTAATGTGAGACTGACATTGGAACTAAGAGGGTCCAATACAAAACACACATGTGCATCCATATACGCCTGGCTCGTGCAGAAGCAACGTTTCTCACAGAGCCTCAAGTCATACGGCGCCTATAGCGTGAAACATTGCATACAGCAAAACATACAGTGACACACAAAGTCTGCGCTAATATCAGGCATCACGCGTCGGCACACACATCAGCGGCAACAGTAACACAACACTATTTTTCTCGTTTTCTGTCAGGCGGCCTCATTTTCTCTCGCTGCTAGCGGTCGTTTACTCTTCAGATTGTTCAAATTGAGCTTTTGAGACTTTTCATTTCAAAACAACAAAAACCTCGCTCTCAAATTAAACAAAGATCAGCAGGGGAAATTGCCCAGGAAGACATCTGTGACTCATTTTCCCCTGGAGTATATGATTAGGAAATTCATTTATGTCTAACGTATAATTCCTGCCCGTCTTTCAAGTGGGAACGTCCACACAGTGCCCTGTGTTCTACCCCTAGGAAGAGGGAAGGAATGGAAGGGGGAAAAAGCAGTCTGTGGGATTGGGTTAGAAACAAAGACCATGTTGCTTGCAATAAGTCTCCACTTTCAATTTTTTAATGATGTTGCTAGGACTACCTTTCTTCTTTTTTTCTTTTTTTTTTTGAGGGAGAAACTGGTGCTGTATGCTTGACCTTCCATGCTTAGAGGAATCCAGGTCTAGTGACAAGAGAAAGGCACGACTTTTGTCTAGAAGAGCCTCAGAACTGTGTTTAACTACGATTTACCCAATCCCTCTGTGGTCTCGCTACCCAAAATTAGATGTTTCGGTAAGATTCGCTGGCTGAAACGGGAACAATATAGCCTTCAGTGATGGTAGCAGAGTTTTAGGGTGAGGTGCTGTCGTGTGGGCACTAAAAACTGGTAATGAAGACGAAAACTGCACATCTGCTCCGCCAGCAGTGTGCACCGCTTCCATGAAGCACCATTTACAAGTCTTCTCTTCAGGACGGTGCGCTAATAAATTTCCTACCACAGGAAGTGAAGATGAGGCAGAAACACTGAAAGGGAGTACAAGGTGAAAATGGATTCCTGTAGTTCATAATTAGGTCACACCGTCACGGACAGCAGGAGTTTTGAGATTCATTAAACTTTTGACACAGGTTTAATAACATGTAAGTGCGCCTTCCTAGAAATACCAAAGGAGAACACTGGTGTATTAAATGTTTCTCTGCCTTTTTCCTGTGCTCTCTCTTAGGAAATGGATATGGGAACCACCGCAACTCGCCTGGTCTGCTGGTTTCTCCAGGTGGCATGAACAAGAACATGCAGACTAAGTCTCCCCCACCCATGAACCTGGGCATGAACAACCGCAAACCTGACCTACGTGTGCTCATCCCCCCTGGTGCCAAGAACAACATGCCGTCCATTGTGAGTAGCGGTTGCATCCCTCTCTCAACCTGCTTCCTTTCCTCATCCACTTTCCCTCCTGCATATCCTGCTACCTTTCTAGGGGTGGGGGGTGGGGGGGGGTATCCTGTCAGGTTTGGCTGTTATTGTTTATTTCCTTTCATGTCCTCTCTGCTGCTTTCATCCTATCGTATCAGACTTGGGTTGATGAGGTTATGCTTGTGATAAGTGTGACTTACGGTACACGTTTCTCTGATTAGTCTTGGCAGCCTGTTAAACCAAAGCCTTTCTTTAAAATGTACTTTTGGCCCAAGGCTGATATTCTGGCAGTTACGGTGTATCACTTCTGCTGTGTCTGTTTGTGTATGCTGATGCTTTTTCCAAAGGTCCCCCTTATTTCTTTTTCTTCCCTCCTATAAATGAGTGTGTTACGTTAGTAGAGTTACAATAGCTGTTAGCATCCTCTTTTCACATTAGCTCTGCTTCCGTTGGCTCAATTCCAATGCAGCTCCATCCCTAGATCCACGCCTAGCCACCACCACTTGTGTGTGCTCACCTACACTCACTAATTTGAATGTATTACCCTCCCCTTTCAATGCCATCAGTCTGAGGATGTCGATCTGCTATTGGTAAGTCAGACTGCAACTCAAAATCAGAGATTAAAAAAAAAAAAAGAACAACCCTGAAACAGTCGAAACATTCTGAAGCTGTCGAGTTTTCCAGTAAAAAAAAAACCTCTAAGAAGCATAATGATCCTAGAGCGATGCAGTCCCCTGATACTAACCTCTTAATTTGAATCCAGTTTTGCTTTGACTAAAGGGCTTATTACTGCAAGAAAAGCCATCCTGACTGCAGAGAAACTTTCACCTTTATTGCTGCTGACTCTGCTGAAGGCCTCAGTGTCGCCTCATGCGATGTTTTATGAGGGCACATGGTGCCATCCAGTGGTGTGCCAGAGTAAAAGCAACCTGGCCTTTTTATTTGTGTGTGTGCGTGTGTGTGTGTGTGTGTGTGTATCCATTCCTCCCTTTCTTCCTCATATTTTTTCACCTGCATGGAGAATTGTGTGTTGCACATGTGCAACTCACAGGACTGCTCAGTGTAGAAATGAAAGGCAACAAAAGAGTACACTTTCATGTTGCATCAAACCTCCATGATTTTCTGACAAACCCTCCCCTCTGCCTCACTAAAGTGCCTTTCCTTTGCCTTTGCTACCCCGCGTTGCCGTGGAAACCGGCGGTGTTACTATAGCGACAGTAGGCCCTCGGAAAAAGGGTGGTAAATGATAGGGTTGGCAGGGTTCAGGCTTGCCGCATGTCAAGTGATTAATTTCTCCAGAAGTTGGCATCACATTCATTCTTTCAGCATCTGTTGAGTGAAAGAAAGAAATGAAAGAAGGAAAAAAAAAACTTTCTCGGTTTATTACTTTTTTTGTTTGTTTTGTCTGGAAGTAGATTTTATGTTCTCAAGCCTCTCCCATCTTCCCCTTTTTTCTCTCTGTCTTCTCTTCCTCTGCCACAGAACCAGAGAATAAACAACTCTCAGTCTGCTCAGTCACTGGCCACCCCAGTGGTATCAGTAGCAACTCCTACTCTACCAGGACAAGGCATGGGCGGTTACCCATCTGCCATTTCTACTTCTTATGGTACCGGTACGTTGCCCAGTGTGTCTGTAAACATAGAGTTATTTTGTGCAGTGTGTATAGTTTTGCATTACACGCAAAATGACCCATCAAATCCAAATTTATTTTTAAACTCTGTATTGTGTATACCAAGCTTTTCTTTTCTGTGTGCAAATGGGTGTTATACAGCAATCTAACAGCAGAGGGTGATATTGTCCCACCCAGTGACTTGAACACGTTCATGTCACAGCAGGATTTACCAGAGCTCCAACTTTGTCTTTTTGTCACTTCATTGAACAAACTATAATGTGAATCTTCCTCTTCTTTTTCATATGTGTTTGCACACAGAGTACTCCCTGAATAGCACAGACCTCTCCTCCCTGTCTGGCTTCAACAGTGGCAGCTCTCTACACCTTGGTTCAATGAGTGGGTGGCAACAGCAACACCTTCAGAACATGCAGCATTCAGCGCTGGGCCAGCTAGGGTGAGTGCACAGAGCTTACTCTGAGGTGTTGTTGGGAAGTGCATGAAGTAACACATGAATTACTCCCAGAGATTTTTTATTTTTTGAAATGCCACACTCATAAATCTACTTTACTGTTCTCAATCTTCACTTGCAATATCGAACACAAGTGACACCTCACTTTTTTTTTTTCACGAGTGTGTATGTATGCATGCCGGCATGTGTGTATGTGTGCGTGTTACGAGCTGACTTTTAAAATCACTTTGTTTCTTGCTCTGTAACTCTGTAACCCCTTTGCGTTTCCTTTCCTTCCAACAGAAATTGTTCTAGCTCTCACTTATGTCAGGGTTCAAATCTGTCCCTGCCCTCTGCTCAAAGCCTCCACATCAAGTCCGAACCTGTTTCTCCTCCTAGAGATCGCACCAGCAGCACACCGGGGGGCTACGGTGGCGGGGTGCCACCTCCCCAGAACCCCTCGTCCCGCCAGGACTCGGGACGCTCCCCTGTTGATAGCCTGAGCAGTTGTAGCAGCTCCCATGAGGGCAGCGACCGCGATGAGCACAGGAATGAGTTCCACTCACCTCTGGGACTGGCCCGGCCCGCCCTGGATGAGCGTGAGAGCCCCTCCATCAAACGGGTACGCCTGTCAGAAGGATGGGCGACATGATTGCACTGTCCACTCCTCTGCAGTGCCCCAAGTTGCCCCGAGCTCCCGACAATGCAGCATTACGATGCCCCACAGTCAGCTCCCTCTTCTTCCTCCTCGCACTCGATCTCATGAGTCACTCACCGCCCAACCCCATGGCCTCTCTCCTTTTTTCTCTTTATTGAAGGAAAGCAAAGGGACAACCCTTTCCAAAAATCTGTTTGTAATTTCTTTTCCTTATTTTTGTTCCTTGTTTTGATTTTGCTGAGTGTGCGTGTGTGTGCGTGTTATACATATTGACATTATATAAAGCAGTTGGGTGTTGTAATGGGGGCTTGGGAGGGTAGTTGTTGTATGGGATGGGATCTGGGGGTATTTTTGTTGGGGAACTATGCATAAATTGTATTGTGGAAAAAAAAAAAGAATCATGTATGCATATATCTTAACACGTGTAACACGTGTCTACAGATGTGCATATCAACAAATACAAAAAAAAAGGTCAGGTACTCTGTTTCATAAAACGTACTTACAATTTGCCCCAGTGCTATATCAGTGAATAGAGACAAAAAAACAACAAAAAAACAACAAAAAAAACAAGATGAGCGTGATTGTGTCCAGTGAAAAACACCTTAGCACTTGAGTTGGACAAACAATACATGTGTACAGTATCAGTTTCATTGCTATAGACCTTCTCTGCAGTTTTACCTTGCAAAAATGTGTGTTAACATTAGATGATGTCATGTTGCAGGTTCAACGTATTTATGTAAATAGCGGGTCAAAGGGGTAAAAGGGCCTGGGGTCAAAAGTCGCCAGACATTACAAGATTTATTTACTCACTAAATGAAAAAGCTATTATGCAACATTTGAAGGATTGTACAGGTAAACGAGAAAACCCGATGCTAGATGTGTGGAACCCTTGATCGTTTTCGTGCTCCCCTTAAAGAACGGAGTGAGGACCACTCTTTGATCTAAGAGCTATGTCGGCGTAATCAAGAAAATCTCTGGATCTAGTATTAACTATTCAGTATTGATAAACAAAAAAAAGAGAAAAAAACAATTGTACAATACACTTGCTTATATTTTCATATGAAAGGAATAAAATGCAAAGCATTTTTGTGGCTTTTTGTAGTTTCTATAAGCCAGAATGTGTTTTTTGATAGCTTTGCCAATAAGAGATGGATAGTTCACCCAGAGGGGAAATGACAGGGCTTCAAGCCCCAAGCCATGAAAAACAGACTGAGATCCAATGCTTTGCTGAACTGTTTAATCTTTGTAGAGGTTTGTTTTTAAACGTGTATTTCTTATTATATATAATAATGGTAATATTAAGAATCTTTTAAAAAAAAATCTGTGAAATTAACATGCTTGTGTATAGCTTTCTAATATATAAATATATATAATAATGATTTTTTTTGTTGGTTTCTTAGTGAAGTTTCTATGTGCTGTTGCACATGTTGTCTGGTTTGTTTCATTTTAACTCTGAACAGGGCTGTTTGGGCGGCGTGTTTAGACTAACCTTAAAAACCAGCTGGAAAGCATTGCCAGGGTTGAAGCCTGAATGCTGAAAAACCTCATTTCTAGTGGAAAATGTCACGAGGCTGAATCTGGAGACCACACAGAAATAAATGTTGACACGTAACGTACACGATTGTCACACTGATGAGGAAATATGACAAAGCCGGAGTCTCCGAATACATTTTTATGCATCCGGATATTTCGTTAGCAGTCCAAATTATTATAATTTAATAATCGTAGTCATAAAACATAGATTTGACCTCATCGATTTTGAATACCACCTTCAATTTTCGACCCAGTCTACCTTGTGTTGGAGATGTCGCTCAGACGCAAACTGTAAAATCTTCCTTTGAATCGCATTAGCGTAATGCGATTTATGCATCGTGATTAAGTACTCTTGTTTTCAAACCTAATTTAATTCTGTGTCGCTCCAGTCTCGAAAACAGGGTTCCACATCCTTTACCACACTGTCACAGACAGTTCAGCGTAAGACACAAAAAAGAACAAACTGATCATGCTGGTATGGGAGAAGCACAATTGTTTATTCTTGATGAATAGCTTTGATTTTCTCTTTTTTAAACAATGAGACTAGCCACATATCTCTCCGCCTCCCACACCCATATCTGCTGTCACTTAAGTGTTATGATATTTCTATGTGCATATTTCATGCAGGATCACTAGGTTGTTACTGTATACAGTCTGTGTAGTCAAATGGGGCAGAGCCTCTATAACAGTGTTTTTCTTCTTCTTCTTTTTTTTAAACTTCAATAGAAAAAAAAAAAGGTTGGGAAAAAAATAAACATGATGTTTCAGGCAGCATAAGTGTGGAGAAACCAAAGCCAGTGGCATTTCTGTGTTGTAAAGTCAGCTTTTATTTTCACATTCATATATGGGTTTTTTTTTTTGGTTTTTTTTTTTGGTTTTGCAAGCATTGAAACAAGATAATAAAAGATTCTGCTTAAATTCACAACTGTTTTCACATTTCACTTTCAGTTAGTTATTGTAGCTTTAGCCATCAAACTGCATTGTCCATAGGAATCGTATTCATTTACCTGCTTTCTTCTTCATTTGTCTCCCTGTGCAGCGTATCGAAAAAGGTTACATGGGGGAAAAAAACAAAAAGGAAAGGAAAAGCGCATTTTCTATTTACAATTTGTTACTTAACTCGGAATCATTCAGGCCCGTGTGAAAGCTGTACTTGTTTTTCACTTCATCAATCAACATTACACACTGCTTGCTCGCTGAATAAAATAATGCCAACATGTCCTGACAGTTAATTAGAGTGCTATAGTTTTGACAGTATTTTTAACCAAAGACATGGAGAAAGCTTGTCTTTATATCTTTGATGTTGTTTTTTCTTCTTCTTCTTTCTACGTTTGTTCAATTTGAAGCCAATTTTTTTCTTCATCTGTTGATCAGTTGTTCTTTGTCATTACTATATCAGACTAAATGTTGGTACCTCAAAATTGACCCAAGCAGTACCTCAGCTGATTTTTTGATAAGTCACTTAACGTGCAAAGGGGAGACCATTCACCTGTACAGCCATGTGTAATAACAATTGCTTAAGGTCCCAACATTCACATGCTACGGGATTCTTTGTTGCTCCTCTGTGTTTGTGGTTTATTTAAGTTGTACTCAAAAGCTGAAATTTAAAAAAAAAAGAGTAATATGTTAAAATACTTAAAAAGTCAGTCTGTAGTATCAATGTAGCTTGTATAAACCTGATGATGGGGGCGGACGTTTGTAACTAAGGTTTTTTGGAATGCAGGAGCGGCTTTCAGCGGCATAAGCTGGCCTTTGTCGCCACTTGAGACTAAGATGGTATTAAATTAAAATCACATCTCTGTAACTCAAGGGACTTGATTCAGCTGTATGTAGTGAAAACGTATGGGGATGAAATAAAAGTCTCCTCTGCAGGAGGGAAAGGCTATTTGTATTTTGCAGAGATTTCAGTAAAGTTACTGGCTTTCTTAGTTATCCTGATGTGACTTGGTGTGATTTCATTGTGTTTGACTTGTTTCTACATGCATCCCATACAGCGATTGCTTTCATACCATGCAGACTCAAAAAACATATCAACACAAAGAGCTTCCATGAGGAAATGAAGGGACATGGTGCCATAGCAACTTCACTCACAGATAATTTGTCATCCACATTTTTTTCAATAGATGAATTTTTATATGTATAATGACAAATAAATAATAATTGTAAAAAAGCAACAGCAACAACATTTATTTAATATTTTAAACAGTTTTTTTTAACAGTTGGCCTCACAATTACAGTTGCATCGTCTTTCTGAGTAGTAAATCAAACTACATTTAAACATGAGAGCACATAGATCCTAAACAATGAAATCACAGTCGTATGCTCCCACACGACAAGAAACAAGGGAAAGGTTTAGGCCTACTCCTGTCCTACTCGCTTTTTCTTCAATAAAAAAAAGTGGGAAAAAAACCAAAACAACTCAGAAGTGTGAATCAAAGAGAGAGTGGACAGCTTATTCTATAAAATACATGACAGTCTTTATTTTTTTCAGCTTTTCTTATAACAGTTATTTTGCAATGACTGAACCCCAAAATATAGCTTAACTTTATTGTAACAATTATTGGGTTGGGTTGTTATCAAAACGCAAAAAAGGAAGAAATTTTCCTGACTGTTCATGCATTTTTCTGCAGGCAGTACAGGTCCGTATAGCTTACCTGAAAGAATCACTTTTTTCGAATGGAAATGTAACATTAGTGAATACCCATATAGACAGACACACACACACACACACAGAAAAAACAAACGAATTACAGTTTTACAAAAATAAAAAATAAATCCATCGCGAGATTTCGAACATTTTGTAATGCCAAAGAAATCCTTTTGATAGCGTTTTTCTTTTCGTTTTTTTCTTCTATATAAATCTCTCTATTTTTTTAGATATATATAATATATGTCTACCGTCTATATTTTCTAAAGGCCCCTTTTCTATCTTTTCTATCTTTTCTTGTTAGTCTGAAGTCATTGTTCCTTGAGGTTATCGCTTCTTAACGTTAGCGTTATTTATTTATTCACTTACTACATGCAGAAAAATTGTGAATTGATATGAATAAATATATTTCCCAGGAAGAGAAACGTTGCAGTGGGTTGCTGTGAACATAGGCCTGCCTGTAGGATGGTTTCAGAATTATCGAGAAACTAATTGCAATTAGGTTTCGTTTGCTTTTCTACCGTTTTGTAGTCTACAATTTGGCCGTCGTTTCTTTCGCTGAGAAATATGTTTGTTTGTTTTTTCTTTAATAGGTAACAAGAAATGATACATAAACTTGTCACACGTCATCTATTAATTGCACGTATTTAAAGATGGCAAATCGAAGAAACAGATTCAACACGTTTTGGATATTGTTTTATTTCACAAGTAATTGCTACATCAGCAACATGTCTACATGCATCGCTTTAAATATGCTTTAAACAATTATTCACGATCTAAAAGTAACGGAGTTACTCTTTTAAAATCATATATAACAATGAGGCTAATGCTCCGATGTATTCTACTGACTTCTTCACTTGTGCAGACTGGAGCAGGAGTGTGCAGATGCCGGCAAGTAACAGTTTTAATGTTTACAGCATCTTTATTGACACTGTTTCCTAAACGGTCTAAATGTTCACATTTTCTTTCGCCATTACATTAATACCAGACACACTGAAGTGATTTTGAAGAGTTTTCTACCAGTAACGTGTGAAAGAAGGTTTGTAAGGTCACTGCAGACCAAACATAATGAATTATCTATCAAAAATAATATACTTTGACAACAGGTTTCACAGTTTTTAAACTGATGCAATAAACCTGAATCTGCAAACGGGCTGCCACTTTTTTGATAAAAAAAAAAAAAAAACTATAGAAATGAAAAAAGGAAAAAAAACGAATTGTAAAAAATCAGCGCCTTCAGGGTGAATAAATTAAAATAAATAAATTAAAATCAAGACAGCACTTGTACATTTACAGGGTGGGGAAAACAATATCTAAAATACATTCTTAGCTTAAAGCCCAGTTAGGGCTTCAGTTGCTGCTTTTGTAACATTAAAAGCGAAAGAGTTCTGAGGGCATGTGTGTTTCCAGCATCAGGCTTATTTTAAGATCATGAATGTACATTAAATTGCACGCATGACGTTGGATTGCGCAAGTTCAGTGTGGCGTTGGTAGGAACAGGTACTCGTTCACCCTTGTAGGCTGCACACTCGTTCACCGTGAGTACTCAAACTAGAAATCACCACTAGATGTCACCGTTTAGCTGTTTAGTCGATGCCCTCACAACCTGGATCTTCCTCGCCGTCTTTCTCCAAAAGAAGCTGTAGACCAGACCCTGAATGGTCCCGTGTACTCCACCAGCTGCTTCATCCATTTTTCTTTGAGGTAAGTGTAAATACATAATACACTATTTATTATCATTTAATTCTAACAATTACTGCTTAATATCCGATTGTGAAAACAATGATAATGTGTACTCTGTTGCAAAGAAAAGAAAAAATAAAACCAACAACTGTAACATAATAATAATAATAATAATAATAATAATAATAATA